TTTACTTTGACCTGCCTCGGCTCATCCCTCCCCACTATCAACCCGCCAAAAAATGAGCCTGCCGAGCCGAGCCTGTTTTGCTGGCCCTGGTGTTGACCATGTTGATCGTGGGCTTTTCCCCACAAACGACGCCAATGTTCTGTCTAAGTAACATAAGTGTCTAGCCAAGGGCTAGTAGATTGATATAGGATCAAGTTCTCTTTCTAGATATCTATGAATTAGATAGCTTGAGGTAGATCACTGTACACAACTATACCGACGTTAGCCAATGAGGTGGTATGTGTACAGTAATAGCATAATAGTAAGAGAGAGATCCTTTTTACATGTAGTCTTTACCTCATGTTTATAGAGTTTGTCTAGGGGTATTCAAGCTTTGGACCTTGTAATCCACGAGCTCAATTGTACCATTGCATAGCTGTCATGTGTTTCCCATTTATTGAGCTTTTTAGGCATAAGAACCTTATATAGGTCCATAACACACATTAGAAATGCATGCGCTTCAGCTTATTCACTAACAACTAATTAGAAGGCACATGGTGCATGCATCGAATTTTTTTTTGTCTTTCAATACCTAATAATAAAATCTTGGTTTGTACTATTAGGACATTGAACTTTCTGTATACCCCAATTAGATTTGCTGCCAATGGTTCCGATGCTTCTTCTGCATGGTATCATTGTTATTCCTGGTCCTCAACTGCGGTAGTGTTCTTCAAACTTTGAAGCTAAAATCCTATCTTTGCTTCCTCATGAATCAGGAACTTTTCCAAATCTTCAAAAGGGGTTGCACCGAAAGCATGCTTTTCTAGATCAGATGACGAATTTTTACACCAAAGACCAAAGAAAGAAAAAAAATAAATTAAAAAAGAGGAACATAATGTGGCCAAATAACTGCCACGAAGATGGTTACACTAGAATCCATGGGCAAGGTATTTCAACTAACAAAAGCAGTATGGAAACTCAAACATTCTTACTTGTGGGGTCAGATTAAGTAAGATATATAAATGATTCTTTATCAGCAATGTAACTCTTTTGTGAACTTAATACGACCAATGCATTTTCTTTATTCTGGTTTTATTGTTTTCTTGTGACCAAATTTTGAATATGGTACAGTCAATAATCAAAAAGGCTCTGTTCTGTGGGCTTCTGCCCATACTTTTTAATGGTTGATAAAACTTGGCCTAAAAAAGACTATTCCACCTACTGTGTTGAACTGTGACCATTATTTATTTGGCAACAATAAAATTTTATTTATTCATACAATTTTTTTTTGACACGTGTTATATTATTCTACATTTTTACAACTTTATACAAATTGAGAGTCATATATGTTTAATATGCGTGCAGCATTTTTCCTCAAGGATGCTAGTATTTGCTCCCTAAGGGAAGACAATTTGAACTTGGTTCCCAACCTTCAATTGAAAGCTAGGTAAATGACCAGAGTTATAGCTCAAGTGACTGTATGCAAACTTTTGATCATGAACTTAATTCTTGTAATACAACGGAGCTAGCTTTTGAATGAAAAGATATATGTTATTGGGGGAGAGTTAGATTTTAAAATTTTTTGTTTATAAATTTTTTGTGTATAAATTTTTACAAACTATATTATATGTACTATTGGGAGTAGATTCGGATAGAAATATATTTTCGGGTATACATAACATAATTTGTAAAATTTGAAAACAAACAATTTGTAAATATAACTTATCCAATGTTATTAATATAAAATACAAAAGATGAGAAAGTAGTTTATGTTAATTTTGTGATAATCTATGGATGATGAATAAGAAATTTGAAATAGAGGAAATGAACCGGATGAAAGATGCACAAATGTGTGCACAGCTGCTCATCTGATAAAATAAATTTTTATTAAATTATTTTTTATTTTTTTATCCCCCTCTTTTATTTGAAAATTCCAAAAATGTCTCAGTATTTATCTTCTGACTGTTGCACTATTTCGTCCCTACCAATTTCATTTTTTCGTTATTTTCAAACCATCGGACACGTCAGTTCACTGGCGTCGAACCAGTGCATTTCTGGTGACCAAGGACTTCAAAAAATACTCTCAATTTTCTGATTCCCATACCGTCATTTTGCCAAAAAATTTCTGCATCATTCATAACATTGTGCTATCAAATTCCAAACATTTGACTGTGTACATTGGGGCTCCTACTCGGTTGTGTGATCGTTCTTGAAACGATTCTGCTCTTCCCTTATTTGACTGTGTAGGTGTAGGTTCTAGTACATCAAATGAATATGTTTTTCATATTTGGAATTAATGTTTCTTATATTATAAGAGATAAAATTATCTCCTACAAATACATAAAAAATATGTGGGACCTGTTTTTTTTCTCTCTCTCCTCTCTCATGCCCGCATGTGGACCCTACATATTTTTATATGTGTGTATGAAATAAAATTATCTCCTATAATATAAGAAACATTAATCTCTTTATTTTTTCACAAAAAATAAAGGGACATGATATACTTACCACTAAAAAAGTTTACTACCTTTACTAACAACCTAATCACCGTTGATTTTCGTCAATCTAACACTTCTAATTTATTAAGAATAATAATTAATTAATAAATACGACCTAAAAATAAAAGCTAAAAAAGTATAAGAAATGACATCAGAAAACATCTGAGTTAATGAATCGGGCAATGAATCTGTTAGGATTTGCGTAATTTTTTTTTATAATAGAAAACATAATTTTTTTATAATAGAAAACATAATTTTTTTATAAATAAAAACACAAAATATATAGGATTATATTACTGTTTGAGAAATTATGTGCAATAATTATATCTCAAAATATTGCATATTTGCATAAAGCATGACCAAATAGTTTTGTAAAGATAAGATATAATGAGAGTGAAAAACAATAAATTTTTTTTTCCATGTTGGAAATTGATTCAAGCAATTGGACTTTCCTGATTGGTAGAATCAGCCGAACCCCTTGACCAATTGAACTGAATTGTCCCTTATCCATTGATAAAAACAATGTGCTACACTTAAATTCATGAAGATATTCTCTTTGGAGTTTGGACGATCTCATTCAATTCAGAAAATGTAAATTGTGAAACAAATGCCAAAACCCACGTGTGTCCCTCCCTAGTTCTCTCTGTCACCAAACAGAACATGTTCAAATTCAAAGACTCTTCAGTCTTGCTAACCATAGTCTATACCTAATAATGGCAAACATGTCTATTGGCAGTTTCTCACCACATGCCTCAAAATTTTCGTCATCAAAGGTAAAGCCAGAGCAAGGCCCTTTCTATGTTCACCTTTTCATATACAATACTGATCCACTTTATGGTGGTCTTTTGAATATTCAGCTGAATTCCTACACCTAATCAACAATGATACTCTTAAGCAAAAAATTTCAATGATAGTGTATTTTGGTGTGGTTTTCACCCTTGAGAGCTGAAATAACATCACTCTCTTGATATATACATTTAACCAAAGTTGTTATTTTAGCCTCACTATCAGAGTTTTACCAAATTATTGCATCAGACACATAAAAACCTCGATATCATAGCTACTCAGTACTTAGAATTTTACGATTATTTAATATAATGACAGTGTTGAATAATTAGAAATCCAAAATTTTCACTCTCATAAGTTCTGTACACATTTTGTTTCTTTTACCATATATATGCAAACAAACATGCTTAAACTTGCATAACCCTTTGAGTTATTACTTTAGGAGAGTATTTATCCAAATTTTAAACTTAGCAACCTTTGACACAGGAATTTAAAAAAATTGTGAGGAATCACCTAACCAATCACACTGTCAATGTTTTAAACTAAAAGAAATTTCACTGATCCCCTACTAACTTCAATAACCTATCACCATATACCCTTTTGTAATTTTGTGGAGACAAGGCAAGGAGAGTGTTTAAGACAAGACTCAAAAGGGTTGGTTCGGGGGGGTTAATCTCAGGGTGAATTATGAAACAACAAAAGACAATCTCGGGTTACATCACAAACTACTTGGTTGAACAAACTCTTTAAGTGGCTTTGTCCCAAGCTACCAAGCTATATGAAAGTAGACAATTTTGGGTTGGCTTAAGTAATATATTAAATTCATAATAGTGATATAGAGTACCTTATATATCAAGGGGAAAACATTGATCAATTCTAATGGACCTTTTGGCTTTTCGATAGCTTACAAAAATATGTCCTTGTATAAACGTCCAAGGAAACCTTTGTCTTTGTGTAAATCCTGGCCCTTAATACTACAGAAACTCTCTGACTCTTGTCTATAGTATCACTTTTGGATGATCCTCTCTCTTTATGTCTTTTACTCTCTGTATAAGTTAGAATGGTCAAATTATACTTGATTGGACTTGAGCCTCCAAAGAACAAAAAAAAATAACTAACAAATTTTAGACCTCTAAATCTTACTCTTACAAATTCCAAAGTGGATATTGCACCTCTTCATTATCTATATATATATAATTTTTAGGCCGGTCACTGCTTGGACGTTTTAGCCCTTCCAAAAGCAAAAGTACACATACACTCGTAGAGAAACATTCTCAATAGTTGATAATACATTATTTAAATTTTAGTGTAATATCATCTATGATTACGTATGTGTTATATTTTTAGGGATTTAATGTCTCTCGTATTATAGGAGAAAATTTTATTTTCTACATATACATAAAAGTGTGTGGGATGCATATTTTTTTTTTCCCCTCTTCTCTTCACGTAACCTCATATGAATCCCACATATTTGTATGTGTATAAGAAATAATTTTATCTATTATAATAAATAGATATAGAATTTGTCTTCTAAAAGTGCCTCTGAGTCAGCGTATTCAAAGCCCTTTCTCCCCCCAAAAGCCCTCAAATAAGTCTATAAAAACCCCTCATACAACCACTTCACAAACCCCCTTCACTTCATTCCTCAAATCTCTCTCTCTCTATATCACTTTTTGTTTCAAGTCTCTTCAAAATCATTTTTTTTTCTCCTTTATAAAGACACAGAGGAGAGAAACTATGTGTCAGCTAAGTTCTCATGACTTCACCTGCAAATGCAATTCAAGTCCTGATTTCCCAATTTCAATCAAGGACTCAGAGCAACCCAACCTTCTCACCAACCCATTGATCACCAAAGACCAAAAAAGCATAGCATCACCAAATCAAGAAAAGGAAAAACCACAGAAAACCGATCTTTCTGAAGCCTTCAAGGAAGTGATTTCCATATCCAAAATAGCTTTTCCCATGATACTCACTGGTCTCCTCCTATATTGCCGGTCAATGTTCTCTATGCTCTTCCTTGGTCACCTTGGGGAGCTAGCCTTAGCTGGTGGTTCACTTGCAATAGGTTTTGCAAACATCACTGGCTATTCAATACTCTCAGGCCTTGCAGTGGGAATGGAACCAATTTGTGGACAAGCCTTTGGTGCCAAAAGATTCACCCTTCTTGGTCTCTGCTTGCAAAGAACCATTCTTTTGCTCCTCTTAACATCCATCCCAATATCACTTCTTTGGCTTCACATGAAGCAAATCCTTCTCTTCTGTGGCCAAGATGAGGCCATAGCCACACAAGCACAATCATATCTTCTATATTCCATTCCTGACCTCATAGCACAATCCTTATTACACCCATTAAGAATTTACCTTAGAAGCCAATCCATTACCCTGCCTCTAACCCTTTGTGCTACCTTGTCAATTTTTCTTCACATACCCATTAACTACTTTCTTGTTTCTCATCTTAATCTAGGAATCAAAGGTGTTGCTCTCAGTGGGGTGTGGACTAACTTCAGCCTTGTAGCTTCTTTGATCCTCTACATAATTTTCTCTGGCACTCACAAGAAAACATGGGGAGGTTTCTCTTCTGAGTGCTTCACACAATGGAAGTCCCTTCTCAATTTGGCCATTCCAACCTGCATTTCTGTGTGCCTTGAATGGTGGTGGTATGAGATCATGATTTTGCTTTGTGGGTTGTTGATAAACCCCAGAGCAACAGTGGCTTCCATGGGCATTTTGATCCAAACCACTTCTTTGCTTTACATTTTCCCATCATCATTGAGCTTCAGTGTGTCCACAAGAGTTGGCAACAAGCTAGGTGCACAAAAGCCCTCAAAGGCAAGGCTTTCAGCTATTGTGGGACTCTCTTGCAGCTTCATATCAGGTTTCTCAGCACTGGTTTTTGCTCTAATGGTTAGGAACATATGGGCTTGCATGTTCACAAAGGACAAAGAGATTATAACCTTGACATCTATGGTGTTACCTATAATAGGCCTTTGTGAGCTTGGGAACTGTCCACAAACAACAGGTTGTGGGGTGCTAAGAGGCACTGCAAGGCCTAAAGTTGGTGCTAATATCAACTTGGTATGCTTCTACCTTGTGGGAATGCCTGTGTCCATTTGGCTAGCTTTTTTCACTGGTTATGATTTTCAAGGTTTGTGGCTTGGCCTACTTGCTGCTCAGGGTTCATGTGCAGTGACCATGTTGGTGGTCCTGAGCAGAACAGATTGGGAATTTGAGGCTCAAAGAGCCAAGAAACTAACAGGAACATGTGTTGTTGATGACAACCAAGAGGTTGATGATGCAGAGAAGCCACCCAAACCTGAAAGCAAGGAAGATTCTTTCTCATCAGCAGACTCAGATGAAGATGAACAGTCCTGGGTTTAATTAATCTCCTTAAAAGAAAAAACCAAAAAAGAGACAGAGAAAGAGAGAGAGAGAATGATAAAATATTTAAGGAATTTGTCTTTAACTGTATAGGGGAGTAGCAGGTAGAGACAGAGGATAACTTTTTTATCTTACGATTTTTATTAGATGACAAGGTTGGGTTGGGAAAATTCACATGGGGCTTGCCCTCTCTGAGGACTACTTCCTCTATTTCCAGTGAAATTCAATTGCATTTTGTAGAGCAGTGAATGTCATGGGAAGTAGTAGGAAAACGTGGTGCCAAGTAGGAATAACCATTATTTCTGTAATGTACTCTTTTGTTTTTGTTATTTTTTTTTCAGCTTTATACACAAGAGACACTCATTTCATAATTCTACTTTTTACTGACTTGTTAGTTTCTTTATTTTCCATCTCAACACAATCATGTTTTGTCCTCTTTCCCCTTGTTCATGTTCGTTTCTATTTTGACAAATTATGAGAATAATAGAAAAGAGAGAGAAATATCAATATGAGAAGGAATTAAACTTATTGACTTAAGAGCTTCTATTTATGCATAGGAGCCAGCCCGCCACTAATTTTGGGCATCAATTGCACGTTGGTGTAACTTTATATATGTAAGTGGACATAAAACAATGCATTGTCTCACACCACATAAATTGAAACTGAAGTTACTAGCTGTCTTTGTTTGTCTCAATATTCACACCATTGATATTTCTGGTTTATTGCTACTAAACAAAGATGTTTGGTCCTGTCATTGCACAGCCATGAACTATGAGTTATTTTCCGAATTTGATTAGGCAATAATTTGAAACTGTTCCAAAGTAACCATCAGTTTTCATTTTAATTTTGGATTGGAGATTGAGACTGCTGTTGTTACTGTAAAGAACTAATTCAACCCAAAAGCTTAAGCTGTTGGGTGAAGCTATATTAATGATTTTATATATCTTAACACGTCCCCTCACACGAGAGCCTATTGGGCTTGAAGGGTGGACGATGTACAGGAAAGAAAGTGGAGGGCGCTGAGGATCGAATCCGGTAGACTGAGGCTCTGATACCATGTAAAAAATCAATTCAACCCAAAAAACTTTTTGGTGATGTTACATTAATGATTTTATATATATCAACATGCCCCCTCACACGAGAGCTCATTGGGCTTGAAGAGTGGACGATGCACAGACCCACTTACCTGTGCGAAGAAAGAAATTTCACTAGAAAGAAAGTGGAGAGCGGTGAGGATCGAATCCAGTACACCGAGGCTCTGATACCATGTAAAGAACTAATTTAACCCAAAAACTTAAGCTGTTGATGAGGCTACATTAATGATTTTATATATCTCAACAGTTACACTAGTTACACTCTCAACTATTGAGTTCATGATCCTCACTTTGACCAAAACTTGAAAACTTACTAGTTTTGTTAATTCAACACTTACCCTCTCCTTCTACTTATATAAAGGGATGAAAAACAAAATAAAATAAAATAAAAGACCTTTCCCTTTGGCATTGTACTTAAAAAGATCTCAACTATCGAATCTTGTTTTCCAAAAATAAGAAGGGGATCATAACAAAGCGTGGAATCACTAACAATTCAGATCACAAGATCACTCATGGGGTAGAGTTTGACCAATTGATATATTTTGAGTTTATATTAGTTCAAGGACCACATTAAATGAAGGATATGCCCGAATCTATGTTTTAATGCTCAAGTGGTAGAAATTTTGTGATGAAGTTAGCAAGTACAACGTAGTAGTCTCACCCATGCATTAGGAGATTGAAGATTGTTTTTCTGAGTATAAAAATGGTTAGAACTTGAATTTCAAGTCAAGCACACGGGCATGACAACACTTGGCAGAGTATTTAAGGCATAAAATTGGGTTGCCTTTGCCGAACGCCGGCTTCTTAAGTGACCTGACGTAGTCTACTGTCCTACCTTAGTCGTTCTTGTGCCTTTTGTGTGAATTTGTGCGTAATGGTTTTTTTATTTTATTATTTTTCATTAATACATCGATTATTTGACAAGTTCCATTTCAGCCGAATAGAATTACATGGCCAGTAAAATTTTTTCTATCAAGTTTTAACACAATTGCATTCTTAGACACTTAAACTTAATATCAGTGGTTAAATTAAAACAATTCCTGTTTGGTGATTCTGATCTTGACACTATCCAAACTTTTGGTGGACATGATGTGGTCTTTTACTGTTAAATAGAATAAGATGCAAAAATATAAAAAATATAAAAACCATTTGTTTAGCACAAAATGGGATGGGCACTTTTGTGCAGATAAGCAGAGGAATTTATGCAGATTCAGATTTTCAAAGTGAAAAGAGTATTGCAAGTTGCAGCTCAAGTTGCAAATTGATTTAATGGGTGCAACAAATTCTGATGAAGAGTCAGCTGTAAGACTTTGTTTTTTCCTTTTTTTAGGGGGTGGGGGACAAAATCTTCACCATCTTTGCTTAGCTTTGTTGCTTTCATTATTAATTGACAGTGATAATAAGGATGACACTACTTTTTGTTGGAAATCAACGTGCAGTCTGGGAATTTTTGGAATCAATGTTTCTCCTTTTTTACACCTTTCCTATTTTACCAAAATGAAAATGAAGTTGATAAGAAATATTTGATGCTTATTCTGCAACAATTCCTCAAAATTCCTTTTCTACGGAGCTTATGTTAAAGGACAAGTATATAATTTGTTTGGGTTTTGATTGGGGGAACAAATGTTAGGACTCACGTTTAATTGGAGAACGTGTAAAGAATTAATTTCAAAGTTTTTGGAAAAAAAAATTAATTGCATGATTGTTAAGCTCGTAATTTATTGCACATGATCCAATCAATTAACGGATAAATTCAAAAAGTTTTGAGTCAAAGAGTATCATGGGCCATTAAGCATGACTTGCATGCTAAAAAAAAAAATCAATTTAAAATCTAATAAATTACTACCAAATCCATGTCCAAATGAAACAACATATTTGATTGTAATGTGATAGGCAAGAAAAGGAAAGCAATAAATTGACCATTTGAGATCGAAGATCTGAGATATGTTTTAAATTATTTAATTATATATAATTACTTTTATTTTTAGATATTTTCTTTATTTGTAGCAGGTAGCTATCATTATATTTATTTTTAATTTTTTTTCTTATATTTAGTATTTTATATTTTAAATTGATTTCGTAAATGATCTATAAGAGGGTGTTTAATGTAACACCATGTTCGTGACCAATAATGTTATATCAATTATGATATTAAGCGCAGTTACAATCACAACAGTTTTTTAAATTTTATAGTAAAACTTTTTCTTTTTAATACCTTTCACAAAATCCTTACGTTTATAAAACGTCCATATTCAACATTTTTCAAAAAATGTGATTGTAACTCAAACTATTGTGGAATCATAAGTATTATTGCTTAGGGTGTGTATGACAACCTTCCCAGAATCAAATTTTTTTTTTTTTTAATTTTTGCTCCCGGGAACATAAATGTATAGAAAACACGTTTGGTAAAATCGGTTTATTTTTTTGTTCCCGGGATTAACCGGTTTAATTTTTGTGCTGGGGAACAGAAAAAAAATAAAAAAAATTCTGCTTTTTTGTTCCTGGGCACAAAATGAGAAACACTTATCTCTCTCAATTACTCTCCACCACTACCATCATCACCACTGCCACCACTATCCCGACACCACCAACGCTACCATTGTCATACCGCCACCACCACCACTACCATCATCGTCATCACCATTATCACTATCACCATCACCAACCACCACTACCATTATCGTAGCCACTGCTATCACCACCACCACCACCACGCCACCACTAGTACCGCCATCGTCGCCGCCGCCACCACCACCGCCACTACTACATCGCCGCCACCATGTCATCTCCATCACCATCGCCGCAGACACTATTGTCACCACCACCACCACCATCGCTGCAACCGCCATTACCATTACCATCACTACCGCCGCCACCACTACCATTATCATGCTACTGCCACCACCATGTCATCATCATCACCATCGTCGTAGCCACTGCCGTCACCACCACCACCACTATCGCTGCCGCCATTGCCATTATGCCATCTTTACCACCATTGCCGCTGTAACACCCCGTGTATACCCGGTTTGTTAACATGTCATCGTATTAAGCCATGCTTAATTAAATATGCGGAAAATCTTTTTCTTTTCAATTATGACGTCATTATAATTAGCCAAGTTGATTACTTAATCATTTTCATAAAAACATTGATTGTATGTAAATTGCAAGTACAACTAGATGCACTGACTAACCTCATAAATAAATAAGTGAGTATCTAAGTCACGGATCTACAACACATAGTCCGAACAATATCCTGATACGTTAATACAACTCAAATCTAAAAGCATAAAGTCAAGTCAATGTGGCATGGACAATCCTCATGCTCACCAAATAAGACAACAAACCCAACAGAGTCTCAACAATAACATCATAAAAAAATCCAAAAAGTAAAGCTAATGACATAAAGCAACAAACATAATCTAGCATCCAAACACAATCAGCATAATTAGATATATCAGCTAAGCTCCGGCCTCCTGCTGCTAGAGGTCTCAACCCCTGGGTTACCTGAACCTGAAATAAGCGCCCCAAACGTAGGGTGAGATCTCTAAAAAGAAATCTCAGTAAGACAAGGGGTCCTCAAGGATCTTCCACCCCAAGCTCACTTACATGTGCAATATAAGTTCCAAAACAGTGCAACGCAACAGATAATCATGTCATGTGTGTTATAAATAATCTACTGGCTAGAGAAATGCAGGAATACGTCTATTACCCACACAATACACGTCCATGCTGTACCCGCCCACAGGACCACCCCATGGCTTCCTGTCTAGCCGAAACACCACATACATATCATAAAGCAATTGCACTTAACAGCTCAATAGCAAAATAGTACATGAAAACACATCATGCATATAACCATCCCTCCATGGGACATGGTGGAACAAACAATGGCTAAACCGAGGA